AAAGTTTTATCATATGATGATATTGATCACAATAAAGCTTCTGTGACGTTAAAACTAATTGTCGACTCAAATAATTTAGGCAAGTTACTGGACTGCGTGGTCCGATGATCAGAACCCAAATTCATATGACTGAGCTAAAAAGTGACATGACTGTACTCAAAAAGGTCGTCGGACTGCACTCTGCAAGAAAAAGTTGATAATGGACTGGACTCATAGAAGTCAAAAGTCTTATGCCTAGGTAAATTAATCTCGAATTGTTTTAGTAATTTGGACGAAAAAATAACCTAATTATTGCAGAATGATTTTAGCCGTTCTTAGAAGAGCTGCATTTGAATTTAATTTTAATGTAAGATTTTTTTTTTTTTAAAAAAAAAAAAAAAAAAAGAAATGATGATTACAGTCGTCTCTGGATATAACGAACCTGTTTATACCGAAAGTTCGTTATACTTAACCATGTATTACAAAACCGATTATTTTATAATTAATCAGGCTGGATATAACGAATTCTTATAATAAAACATTATATACCGTATCCGAACTAATCTTAACCAAACATGTATATTAGCCCTGTTCAAAATCGTTCGGTCGCATTTTTCGGTCGGTTGTGGTTTAATTTGATTGGCCGGATCTGCTTGCATTTGTTTGCGCGACCGATCTTTTAGACCAATATTTTTTTAGGTTTTTTTTTGGGTCGAACTTTTTCTACCAATAAGATTGCTTTATTGCTGACCGATCGAAAAACGCGACCGAACGATTTTGAACAGGGCTATTAAGCAATATATTTGATAAACTGAACGATCACGTGATTTAAAATTTAGCATATGAAATTGTGTATTTTACCAACGAGATAATCTTTTTATATAAAACACTGCTTTAAAAACTAATGTTAGCAATACCGACTTTGAATAATAAATTAAATTTTATAATTACGAAGTGATCACGTGTCTGTATTTTTATTGGTCAATTTTATATACATTATGATCATATAGCGAACTCACTTTATACCGAATCAAATCTTCTGAAACCGCAGGTTCGTTACATCCAGAGTCGACTGTACAATTAATATTAAATAAAATCTTGAAATTCCAACGTTACTACTTATCAAGAATTTATGATAAACTAATATATTTTATTTCTCATTCATTGAATATATATCCCGTATTTTGATCGAACTGAAGCGCGTAAAAATTATTGAAACAGACGAATTTAGTAACAAAATGAACAACAATTCCGCTGAAATTCTAGAATAGTTCGTGTAACTATTTTGGAAAAAAAAAATAAGATTGAAGGGAGTCAATGAAAATGCAATAGTGATAAAATTTTGTTGCGTTACAGGATTTGCAAAGGCCTCTATTGTTCATGCTCTAATGCTACAAGTCAGAACTCGTTATAACGAACTCTTGATAACGAATTCTCGATATAACGATCTCTTAATGTACTCTCATTTACACGTTTTTTTTAAAAAATTTTTGTTCTATATTAAAACATAAAAATCGTTAATCAAATTTATAAAATTTGATAAAATGAGATTTTTCAAAAATTTTTATTATAAATCGGGGAGGATCGAAAAATTGAGTGTTCGAACAAGGCAATGAAAATAAGCGTCGATTGTGTATACTGTAAATATAGTAAATTTTGCTCATGATTAGTTTTGGTCTGAAGTCACAAATATAAATAGCGGAGTCTATTTTAATTTAAAATAAAAAGTTTAATTTGGATGAACAATTACCGTTGATTTTCTAATTTTAACTGCCCGTTGAATTTTGATATCCCCATATATTTATTTTATTATTTAAGAAATTTACTAAGTTCTTAATTTTATTTATTTCTTATATTACTGTAAAAAAAATAAAATAAAATATAACCAATAATTATTTGACCCAAGTTGAGTGTTATTTTTAATGGTAATGAAACTTTAAGATCATGGCTTAAAAAGAGGTTACTATTTAGCGAATCTATAAATTTGACCAGATCTAGCAAAATTTATGTAATCTTAAAATCTTAATTCCGGCCGAAATCTAAATTCGGGGAGCGAAGTTATTTTATCCGGGTTAATTAAAAAATTATTTGAATACCAATATACTACTGCGCCTTAGACGTCAATTACATATTTCTAATTTTCATTTATGTAAATGGGTGACGAAGGAATTTCTTTCATTGCTAATAAAGAAATTATGAAGCGGCGCGCCGATTATTACGTAAGTCTTTCATATGAAAATGAAATTTGACAAGTAACACAATGACATGAAGCTTATGTAACTTAATTATTCATGAGATTCCCCTTTTTTTAACAGGGTGTTGTATGGCATGGTTATTTATGGTATTTCCATACCAATATGGGTTTTTCATAAAAACCATACCAATATTTGAATTTTCAAATTTCAAGTCGATACCGGTATTGAATATTTATATAGTTAGATTACTTCATCAGATAATTGAATTTGCTTTGAACAGAATGACAATGGCCACGAAAAAAATTTAAAAACTCAAAAGAAAATGGAAAGGATCAATAAGTCGCGTTTGTAGTTGTTTTGATTTATACATTATATTATAAAATGTGTCAAATCAGATGTTAGGTTGTTTAAGATAATGGTAAGAAAAATTTATAAAATAAAAACTTAATCTATTAATTAATGCAAAAAAAAAGTAAAAATTTTTTTGCATTTATAAAATAGGAGTTTAAAATTTAATAACTTTATTTATTCGTTAATTTCCTTCATCAGAATTTGGAAATTTTATACAATTAACTATCATATGGAATATCTGTCAAACCCCGTTTTTAACAATCGATTCTGAGATCCAATTTCCTTTTTAGTCAGTTTTGATTATGCAGTTCATTTCGATCTTTCAAATTTGTTTTAATGCTAATTCAAAATAAAATTAATTAATCAGAACGAGAAAAATTTTTTTGATCCCAAATAAAAACAAGTTATTTACAGGATACAAACAGGTGTAAGCGGATTCTGTGTTTATCATAACAAAGATCGTTCGGCTAATTTTTCGGCGGAGTCAATGATCAACCATCTTGAAGAGAAGGCCACACGAAAATATTTAAAGAAAAACGGAATTTTTTGTGAGAAATTCTATGTCATGCTTGATTGTATTTAAGCAGCCGAAAATAACTCGATTTCTTTTTTTTTCATACCTATTTTATAATCTAGAATTTTATAATCAAGATAATGAGTGAAGAAAGCAGTTCCTTGGTAGAGACAAATAAAAGAAAAAGAATTTGGAATAACCCTTATGATGAAACGGATGAAAAATATAAAATCATTAGTCCATTAGTGAATGTAATTGGAAATCAAATTGACGTCATAGATACTTGTTACAATGTTCAAAGTATTATTACCATTACTGAAAGTGATATAGCACAAAACAAAGACATGTAAGTTCTATTTTCACATTGTTTCTGTAAAGGTAAAGAAAACTTTATTAATTAATCAATCACAAACATAGCGTTAAAATACCAGATCAAGTCGCCGGGATATTGTTCGCTGCTGTTGGTTATCGTAATCATCTGATCGATATTATTGGTTCCATTGGCCAATTTAGTAATGGAATGGAGAAATTTTTAAAGTTCTTCAAGTATTCATCAACACCAACACAATTTCTTCATTATGTAAAAAATCCTGTAAACGATCTACGTGAAAAAGTTACAAGTTTAGAAGCTTTTAGTAATAAAAATTATGATGATCTTAAAGATAACCTTTGTACGTACCTTGCGAATTCTGGTTCAAAGGGATTGGAAAATATAATTAATGAAAAGGTGACTCAGCAACGGGAAATAAAAAAATTACGAGAAGAATTGAAAAAACTTCATGAAGAAGCATCCGAGGATTTGATTAAAAACCGTGCAGATATCGGAAAACTTGTGGAAGAATTTAAGAAATTACAATTAAAACGTGAATTTAATAATAAAGATTTGGAAGATATTGTAAAACAAATAAAGGATTTGAATGAAGCCCGGGGAAAATATGAACAAAATATTCGAGATGAGCAGAGTAATAGAATGAATTTCTTCTCCTTTTTCTCTAAAGGTATGAAAAATTCGAGAAGTAATTCTGTTAAAAATTAATTTGTAAAATTTGTAAAATCTGACTTTGTTTTTCAGACTATAAAAGATTGAAGGAAGACGCAGAAAATCAAATTAAATTAATGAAATCCCGACAAAAGGAACTACGTGCTTTGGAACAAGACTTGGTAGGAAAAGTAGAAAGATTGAAACATAACAGAGAGACATTGGAAGATGAATATAATAAAAAACATGGAGACAATATCAAAGAACTAGAGGATAATATCAAAGAATCAATTAAAAAATATGAGGAATATTCGAACAAAATTGAAGAAATATGCGATAAAGGTTGTACGCCGTCAGCCGTAGCGGCTGTCGAACTGTAAGTTATCAAAGATTTTATTACAAACGCAACTACAGTAAAATTAATTTATATATTTGTTATAGGTTAACGGCTATTTCAAGCCTTACTAAAGCAGATACAAGTACAACCAGTATCTATATAGTTGCTTGTAAACCCATCAAATCTTTACTTAACGATATTGATGGACATCTGGAAACTCTTAAAAGTCTTAATGGTAATAAAGAAGTTTGCGATGAAATTGTTAAAGATCTTGAAGAAAGTTTGATTCCATTTCAAGCGGTGGTTAAAATTATTCAACCATTCTTAACTAAATCTTTACAGGGCGAAAGTTTAAATCATTCTGGCAAATCTAAATTACAAATTGTTCATTAAATTATTTATATTTTTATTTATAGGATATAAATCTTTTTTGAAATATCTTATGAATAGTTTTTATTTTTATTTTTTTTATTTTAAAATCGGATTTAGCCGATCAAAACGTGACATCGTTTTTGACTACCGAACAAAATGTTCTAGTATTTTTGTAATGAGTTAATAAACGGATTTCGAAAAGTACAGTCGTTGAGATATTATTATTTAATCGAACAACATTATAAAATTTGATATTTGTAGCATGCTAACAGCCCGAATTTATAGTGCAATATAGGCATTTAAATAAAAAATTAAAGGTTACTGAAAGTCCACTTTTCGGTACCTATGTTTATAATTGCATGGACTTTGATAAACCGCAATTAATCTTGAAGTCAATGACTCAAGTTTTTCATTAAAATTTCAAATCATCAATATTATGAAAGTTCTTTATAAGAAAGGAATTTAATTAAACTTTGTAATTTTGTATCGTTTGCTTTCATTGTTATATAGAACAATCTATATTTAAGTGTAGAGAGACATTGATTCCAGGCGTGAAATTTATTTTTTTAGAGGAATGTCGTTAACGTAAACTACAGTGGTGTGTAAAAAAAGGCAATTTTTTAAATCGCGTATTCAATAACGGCTAAACCAATTAACTTTTATAATACATCATTTTAAAGCCAATAACCAGTATATTTTATTAAAAAAATTTAGTATGATTCTTTCCCCATTTTTTTCGATAACCTCCTTACAACGTTGTGGCATTGAATTTACAAGATTAATTAGAAGGCTATCTGGAATTTTTCGTCACTCCTACCCCAAAAAACACTCTAATTCACTAAGATTTTTTGGCCTACGCAACTCCACGTTTCTCTTAACGATTGCCCAAAGGTTTTCAATGGGGTTTAGGTCTGGACTATTGGAGGGCCAATCCATAACCTCCGGAACTTTTTCAGC